TCACCTCTATTAAAAAGTTCCAGTCCACCAGATCATTAGCCTTTTCTAAATCCAATTTACAAGCAAAACCTTTTCTCCTAGATCTCTCATTTCCTATACACATTTATTGGCTATTAGGATTTGATCAATTATTTGTCTCCCTTGAACAAAAGCTCCTTGAAACTAGCTGATGAGGGATGGAAGTACTACTTTGATCCTCAATGGCAGAACTTTAGCAATTATTTTATAGATACTAGCCGCCAAACTAATGGGTCGAGAATCCTTAGGTTGGCTAGGATCAGATTTTTTTGGAACTAGAGCAAAGACAGTTGCATTAACTCCAAGGCTGACAATATGTGTATTTGAGAATTCCTTAAAGACTTCCAAAGCTCATCATTTACCACTTCCCAACAATCCTCATAGAAAGCCATTGTGAATCCATCCGAACCTGGTGCTTTAGATTTGTCCATTGAAAAAACTGCCTTTTTATTTCCTCTTCCTCAAAGTCCCTTTCTAGCCATCTTGCTGCCTCCTCTTCTAATAAGGGCCACTTTAACTCTTCTACAATCAATCTTTCACCCAAAGGTCTTCTGTAAAAGGATTTGAAGTGATCAACAAATATCCCGGTCATCTCGTCCTGATTAGAAACCACTTCCTGTCTTCCCCATTTATCTCTAAAATAGCCACAAAGTTCTTGTACCTTCTACCATTGGCCATTGCATGAAAAAATTATGTATTCCCATCCCCTTCCTTGATCCATTTGTGCCTTGATTTTTGTCTACAGAAGATTTCCTTTCAATTAAATACTTCCTCCAAATCTTTTTTTTTCAATTTCCATCTTAATTCCCTTTCTTCAACATTAAGGTTTCTTTCAACCTCCACCTCATCCAATTCTTCAATCTAAGATATTAGGGTAAGCTTTCTTTCTTCTACCCTTCCAACATATTCCTTATTCCACTCCTTTATTTTAGTTTTCAAGCGCTGCAACTTCTTATGGAACTTGATTCCCTCCTGCCTTACCCCCTATCCTCCTCCTGCCACCATTCCTCTGCTCTGTGAACAAAGTCTGGATGTTTCAGCCACATATTTTCAAATCTAAAGGGCCTAGAGCCCTATAAAAAAGTTTCTGAACCTAATCTAATAGGATAATAGTCCTAAGTGACTCTAGGCAATGCTCTAGACACCAAACCTTCCCAATGATTCTCCCATCCTATATTAAACAGAAATCTATCCAGCTTCTAACACAATGGGATTTCTTGAAAGTTGGACCAAGTGAATCTAGTTTGCAAGAGAGGAATCTCCTTCAAATTACACATGTCTATGAACTCATTAAATTTCCTCATGCTAGTTGTGATTAACTAATGAGGGTTGGAAGTCTCATTGGAGAATCTTGTCACATTGAAATCCCCACCCAGACACCATGCACCCTCCCACACAAACCCCAAATTGCATATAGTTCCTCCTACATTTCATTCCTTTCACTAAATTAATTGGTTCATAAACATTAGTTAGCACCCAATTGAATCCATAGACTCACTGGAGAATCTTGTCCCATTGAAATCCCCACCCAGACACCATGCACCCTCCCACACAAACCCCAAATTGCATATAGTTCCTCCTACATTTCATTCCTTTCACTAAATTAATTGGTTCATAAACATTAGTTAGCACCCAATTGAATCCATAAACTCCAAATATCTACCAGTTAACTCCTCCATAGACTCCAAAACTTCATCCTTCCACAATGTCACTATACCCCTTGAAGCCCTCCATGATGGAGCCTCAATCCATCTTATGCCCCTCGATCTCCACAAACTCCTCACTCATCTTCTATCTAATTAAGCTAACTTTGTCTCTTGCAACAACACCAAATCCAGATTTTCCCTCYTTAATACATCTTTAAGTACCCTCCTTTTCTGTGCACTCCGAGTCTTCTCACATTCCAACTAATTATTTTCATTCTTTCACTTTTGAATCAAACCCCTATCCTTTTCTCACGTCCCTACTTGGGTTGTCTTCTTCTATCCCCCCTCCCACTAAATTCAATATCTCCCTCCAGATCTGAAATTATCCTTTCTACTTCTGTCTTATTCTTCTTCTTCCTCTTTTTCTTTTTTCCTCACTCTTCCTCGTGTACACTTTCATTTTTTGGTTCCCTTCCACCTTATGGTCCTTCTGATTTTGTGTGCCCTGCCCTACAGCTGAAACGACCATATCTTTCTCCTTTTTCTTCTTTTCTAACTCTCCTTCCCTCTTTTCTTCCCTACCAGACACCTGAAACTCTTTCTCTCCTATTTCTTCATTTCTCTCATTGTCTTTTCTTTTTTCTATTCCCTTCTCATTCAACCTTACTGTTGCACATTCATCTTCCCCTTTCATATCTCTAGGTTGGGTGGCCAGTTTACCTGTCTCAAGCAAAGCACACACATCAGTAGCCAAAACTGAATGGACACACGTGCATGTACCTGGAGGCAGTGAGGGTGGATTAAGCTCAGAGGGATAAAAAGGCTCCTTGTCTGGAAGCAACGACAAATGGTCTGCCCCCCAAACTGGTCTGCTGTGGTGTGGAAGTGGGAACGTTGATGACTCTTTCTGCACCGAAAGCCTTTTCCGGTGCACCCCTACCTGTTACCTCAATGCAACTCTTCCTAGTATCCTCTTGTCCCACCCACTTCCTGAGTTCCCTGTATTCGCTGAGAGCTTGGAGGTAGATTCCCAATGATAGGCGAGGATGCAACCTGTTCAAGTTCGATTAAGCACACTGCCTGCCCATCTTCCTTTTCTATGTTTTCAGATGCTTCTTCTCCTTCCAGAAACAGCTCCCTCGTGTTAAATCTTCCTGCTTCATTCATCAAGTCTAACCTTACAGTTTGGCCGATGCTACCTAAACTTGAACAGTCAGAGGATTCCAAATCACTGTCACTGCTACTGCCATCAACTTACGAGTCTTCCACCTGACATCTGTTGAATCTTGGGTTACATTTTTCAGGAGAGATCGTCGCCTTCCCTTTATTGGGTACCCACTGCAACGAAGCTTGCTGTCCATTTTTCCCATTTTGGTCACCAACGAACCCTGTCTTGCTCGAGGAAGACAATGATAGACAAACTTGTCTGTCTGAGGTCGAGCCTTCTTTATCAGTCACATGCCCTTTTAAGAGGTCAGGTGTTAGGCTCTTCTGACTAATTAGTAAATAGTATTAGTTTTTTAGGTCCCATTAGTGGGTCCTCAAAAACTAAACAGAAACAAAACTAAAAGAATGATACAAGGGAGAAGTGGAATTCTTAGGATTAATTTTGAGGATTTAGGAAGGCTTGGGAGATTCCTAAAGTAGGTCAATGTCCTTAGGGATGATTTGGAGTTACGTACTCAGCCCTAACTAACAGAGAACTTGACCATCAACCATACAGTAGAGTTCAGACTAGTTTAGATAATCTAAAAAAGAATATCTCTTTTTTTATAATAAAATGAAAATTCAATAACTATAAAAATATCTCTTTTTTTCAGTAACAATTGAAAGTTTAATATAGAATCCGAAGGTATAAAAATTGTACTGTTAGGTGCAAGGACAGAAGGGTCATTTCATATGATGTTATGTTTTACCCTATATAAAATAAGAGTATGGCACCACCACATTCATTATTCTCTCCCGAACAAAAACAATGGTACTCAGTTGGAGGCATTTGAGTGGAGGGACCCTGCAGATGCAGACTAACACAAGAATCATGTAATGAAAATTTTGGAAATTTGAGCTTTTGCCTGACCTCAAGCCAAAGTTTGATTTCACCAGACAGCACATTAAGTAATGATATCTCGGGACTTCCTACAGCCTATATAGGGTCATTTCATCTTATGTTATATTTTACCTTATGGAAAATAAGTGAGACATCACCACACTCATTTTTCTCTCCCAAACTAAAAAAATGGTACTTATTTGGAGGCATTCAAGTGGAGGGATATCCCGTGAATGCAAGCAAACACAAAGTATGTAAAGAAAATTTCGGATTTTGAGTTTTTGGCTGGTCCCAATCCAGAGTTTTATTTCACTAAACAGCACATCAAGTGATGAACTGATGATATATTGGGACTTTCTACAACCTAGTTTAGGGAGAACAACGACATAAGAAGCTATGAATAAAGTGTCAAATATCGGTCACTCCATATTAGGGACTACAAAGAAAAACAAGGTGGTGGGAGGAGTGTCCCTAAAGAAAAATCTGATGAAGTAGTGGCAACTACTATAATCAAAATACCTCCCACTTCCAATGAAACTTGGCAAGTTTATTTTGTTTCAAATTTTATGGTGTTTCCAAAACCATCCATAAATGAAAATTTGTATATACAAATATCACTGATATTCTATCAAAACTATGTACCCATGAAATGCTTTGGTAAATATCTTGGACACTTATTAAATGGAAAGTTTCCCAGAAAATTGCAAAACTTGATGCTAATAGTATGAGCTTAAGGTATATCCTTATTGCTTGCATCTTATTTCCTGAAATACCAATTAATGATTCAATATGTCAACAGGCTGTCTTTTGGATTGGTGTGATAGCAGAAACACACCATAAAAAAGGATTCCCTAGATCTGCTCATCCATTTGTCTACAAAAAATGAGGAATGGGAAACATGGAAAGTAAATGTACTAGTCAAGTTTTCTGATAATTCAATGGAGAATGGGAACACCATGAAAGATTAGTCAACCCTATTATTTATTTAATTGTAGAATCTACATCACAATCCAAACACAGCCTTGGTAATTTAGTAATTTTCTTAGGCTCATAAAGTTCTACAGAACATCTGTAGTTTCTATTTATAAAAGACAATGTTTTCAATTTTTGGAGAATCTAAAGAATCTGTTCACACGCATTATTAGTTGGTTGCAAATATGTCAGGAGAACATTAAAATAGTATATCACAAATTCACAACCAGAAGATGAACCAACTCTTGAAAATTGTAAAGTTATCTAGCTTCTTTGATTGATGAATCTAAAAAGAAACAGTCCCTAAACATGCTAACCTTCAGCATATTGACTGTGTTAAGACCAGAAGGACGAGTTTTGCACTCTTCTTTTGATAATACATCAGTTACTTCAAGAATTCCATCCTCATTCACCAACTTTTGAAACATCATAGCAACCTGGTGATTGGTAGAAATAGTTTAGAAATAGGCAACAAAATAATAGGAAAGGCTAGGGTGGAAAATAAGGCAAAAAATACAAGCGCAAAGGAACTCACATCAACATCAAACAACTTGTTACGACTCCATTCTAATTTAAGTTCATAGCCATTTTGTATTATGTAAGGGTGCAAAGTCCAAAACTTCTCTGGCTTAAAAGTAGTAATTTGCAAGTGGCGTTGTACACAAAATCCAAGAGTAGGAGTCTGGCATGGCCCATAGCTGAAACAAGAAGAAAGTACGAATACATCCTTTAAGAAAAATTGGACCACCAACTGTTGCATGCAAATGCAAGCTTTTCAGTCTCCAGTCAACAATAGAAAAAACAACATAAAATGTAGCCAAGACCAAAACAACAAATTGTCTAAAGGTCGTAAAACAATCTACAAACCACATTAGTAAATGTTCTTTTTGATAATTAACAAGGAATCATTTCATTAATATAAATGAGCCCAACACAACTGCTCTCTATTTACCCTTTGCCTTGCTAAAGAATCTTCCAGCTCACTAACATCCCTAGGAACCCACCGAAATGTTACTTTCATTCCCCTTGATAACCATTTGATCTGCTTCACCACTTCTTCATAAGTCCAGGCTGCCTTTTTTTCATTCTTTAGCCAGCTTATCACCACTGGGAGTCCCCTCCAACAATCAGCCTTCCCAAATTTAACTCTTTTGCTATTTGTTATCCCACAAAGTACAGCAAACAGTTCAGCTCTAGTGGAACCTCCAAGAGCAATAGGACACAAGAATATGGCTGTTATAATCCCATCTTTATCACTGAAACCCCCACCCAATGCCTGAGGGGCCTGGGTTACCAAAGCTGCTCCTGTCAAAATTGAGTTTTATAAAGTTCTCCAAGGTTGGTTCCCAGGCTTTAAGTATTCTAATCTTTCTTGTAAACAAAGAAGCCACTTCCCACTTGTTCCTTCTTAAATCATCAAAAGAATAGGGTGAGAACAGGTCCAAAGATTTGACCCAATGAATCACCCTTAATAAAATGCATTCCAAAATTGCTTCCAGATTGCATTCCTCTTCCTTGAAGAGCCTCACATTTCTTTCTTCCCAAACTGTCCAAATTACAGCTGCCCTATTGCTTCTCCATAAAATTCTTCCTCTTTTCCTAGGCCACCTAAAAGTTCCACCTGCAAACAAACTAGCCAAGCTTGTAGGTAGACTGGTAGAGTCCACCTGCACCCAAAGAGAGAAATGAACCACTTCCAAATAGAGGTAACAAGAGAACAGGAAATTAGAAGGTGATAAGCAATCTCACCATTTGCCTTACAAAGTGTGCACTAGTTCGGGGAAAAACAAACATTTTTTTTCTTCTTTTTTGTAGAAAGTCCAAGATAGACCTCCCAACAAAAAGCCTCTTTCTTTTTTACTTGTACACACTATTTCCCACTTCACTAGGCCACCTTCTTTTCTTCCCTAGGTTCCCAAAGAAAATCCCTCATTAGTTTCTCCAACAAGTTATCCACTTTCTTGGGCACTTTAATCACTAAGAAGTAGTACAATGGGAGATTTTCCATGGTAGATTTGATCAATGTTATTCTACCTCCTAAAGAAATGTAATTAGTTCTCCTTTTCCTAGAGTGTCAAGCCACAAGCTTCAACCTTTCTTGAGATTTTTGTTCAATGTTCATAGAACCGGACCGGTCATAGAACCGAAGAAGGGCGAGGTTCACGAGTTAGAGGTTCAACTAGGGTCGAACTGGAGGTCAAATTGTGATGGCGTGGCATATATGTATATATATTATGAGTTATATAAATACTATATAATATATATTTCACAACTTTTAGTGTACTTAAATATGGTGGATGGATGGAAAATTCCTTAATTTTTAAAGCAAATGAGTAAGGTTCAAGTCTCTTAATTTACATTTTCTTTAAATGTGTGTTTAATAAAGTAATATATACAAGAGTCATTAAATAGCACAAGTAAAGAGGCGGATTAGTGGTAATAAAGCAATATATGAAAATAAGAGGTCGTGGGTTCAAATCTTGTTATACTCATTGTAGAATTTCAATTACTTAGTGACCAAAGCATTTTCATGAAACCGGGACTGGTTCACCGGTTTTCCGGTTAAATCGGATGGTAAGTCGGTTTTCATCGGGTTTTAGACATTATGGATCTTGGGGTGTGACTGAACTAGTCAAGGCCCCGAGTCATAGTTCAATTGATCTGACCAACCGGTCCAGTCCATTTTCTAAACACTAGATTTGTCACCTTTTCTTTATCCAAACTAAATTGAAATTTGGTTTTAGAAGGAGGTTGAGGAATAACGAGTGTGAGGCCCTTATTTAAATGTTGGACAAACTTAAGTCAGTTTTCTTAGTTCAAACTGTGGACAACACTAGAGTTTGGTATTTTTCTTCTAGAGATATTTTTATTTGTGCCTCCTTCTTCAACACTCTTATGTAGTCCATTGTAGTGGGGGAGAATGTCCCAATGAAAGATGTTTGCTGGAGAACAGCAGCCGAAGAAGAGGAAGAAGAAGAAGAAGATTTGAGAATGGCGGCCTTTTCACTTCAGCCGGCCCTATAATCTTATATAGATGTTTACAAAGTAATGTTACAAGAATGGACTAGAATGCTCCTGATTAGTGATGGGACACCTAGACATAAAAAAAGAATAAAACAAGTTTAGGCCCAATAACTAAGGCCCAATAAGTAAGAACTTAAAACATAAACAAGACTAACATAAACACTAAACCAATTGAACCAACACTCCCCCTCAAGCTAAGCATGGATGTCAGTCATGTTTATCTTGCCAAGTAAGTCTAAGAATTTCGTTGAAGCTAGTCATTTTGTTAGCACATCTACAATCTGCATCTCGGAAGGAGTATAAGGAATGCAGAGTTCCCCTGAGGCTATCCTTTCTCTAACGAAGTGTCGGTCAATCTCAATATGCTTCGTCCTATCATGTTGCACTGGGTTATTTGCAATGTTGATGGCAGCCTTGTTGTCACAGTACAGCCTGAGAGGACACTCAACCTTTATCCTGAGCTCACCAAGAAGGGTCCTAAGCCACAATAGTTCAGAAACACCATGAGCCATAGCTCGATATTCAGCCTCTGCACTTGATCTAGCAACCACATTCTGCTTTTTACTTCGCCATATAACCAAATTCCCTCCAACGAACGTGCAATACCCAAAAGTAGACTTTCTGTCTCCAATAGAACCAACCCAATCTGCATCAGTATATGCTTCACTTTCAATTTTATTGTGTTTTTTGAACAGAATTCCTTTTCCTGGGCAAGTCTTCAAATACCTAAGAATCCTTTTCGCTGCTCTCATATGAGAAATCTTTGGAGAGTACATGAACTGGCTGACAACATGTACAGCATAAGCAGTATCTGGTCGAGTGAGAGACATATATATATATATCAATTTCCCTACCAGTTTTTGGTATCTCTCTTTATTAAGGTAGTCCTCTCCTACTGATTCCTGTAGACCATGATTCTGTTCTATTGGAGTATCTATTGGTCTACTCCCCATCATACCTGTCTCCTCTAGAAGATCAAGGACATACTTCCGCTGACATATATAGATGCCCTCTTGTGACCTAGCAACTTCAATTTCCAAGGAAGTATCTCAGATAGCCCAAGTCTTTGATCTCAAACTCAGATGCCAAGAACTCCTTCAATCCTTTTATCTCTTCTAGATCATTCCCTGTAATCACCATATCATCCACATAGACGATGAGTGACGTAAGTCTACTATCCTGTTTCCTTATGAACAAAGTATGATCTGCACCACTTYGAGTGTATCCCACTCTCTTCATGGCCCCACAGAGCTTCTCAAACCAAGCTCGAGGAGACTGCTTAAGACCATATAATGCTTTCCTTAGTCTACACACTTTCCCATCAAAACCATAACCTAGTGGAGGATCCATGAATACCTCTTCATGTAGATCGCCATTTAGGAAAGCGTTATTTACATCCAAATGATGTAGCTCCCATGAGAAGTTTGCAGCTAATGACAATAGAACCCGGATTGTGTTGAGCTTTGCGACTGGAGCAAAGGTCTCTTTGTAGTCAATCCCTTCCTTTTGAGTAAACCCCTTTGCCACTAGTCTGGCCTTGTATCTTTCAATGGACCCRTCCTCCCTATGCTTYAYAGTGAACACCCACTTGCATCCCATAGTGCTCTTCCCTTCTGGTAGATACACTAATTCCCAAGTCCTGGCTTTCATTAAGGCTTTCATTTCTTCATTCGTAGCCTCTCCATCTTGGATCAGACACTGCCTTTGAGTACCTAGTAGGGACATGCACGGAAGAGAGAGCAGACACAAAGGAATAATAACGAGGAGATAAACGTGAGTAAGAAACATATTCAGCAATGGGGTGTCGGATAGTACAAGAATGGGTAGACTTACGAAGAGCAAAAGGGAGATCCAAATCAGAAGTATAAGTGATAAGAGTTGCTAAGACAGATTGATCCGAGTCCGATTGGTTGCTGCCATGAGTTGGAGGGTGTTTTTTCCTTCTGTTCGAGGTGATTCTTATATCTTTTTGTTGCCTACTAGTGTCCTCAGTTACATCTGGGAGGATCAAGAGGAGAAGATGGAAGGCCTGAGGTGAAAGAGGCACAAAAAAAGAGGGAGAAGAAGAATCCTATTCCATCCCACTAGTCTCCCCCTGAAGAGGATTCTGAGAAGAATGAAAATAGGATTGAGACTCAAAAAATACCACATTTTTTGTGACGTATTTCTTCTTGGTAACGGGATCATAACACTTGTAACCCTTCTGTGTAGGAGAGTACCCCAGAAAGACACAATGAGTAGGAAAGAAAGTTATGCTACAGTTTAAATTCTTGGTAAGCTTCGAAACAGATAAGAGATTGGAAGTAAGATCGGGAACATGTAGAACAGATTTAAGAGAGAGGTCCTTGCTTAGGTCAACCCC